GCCAGCGTCCTGCGCAACCGCAGCGTGCTCCTGCAGTGGCGCCGCCCGGCCGTGCCGCTGCGCCGCGCGCGCGCCTTTGCGCTCAACTGCTCGTGGCGCGGCTCGCACACTCGCTTCCCCTGCGAGCGCGTGCTGCTCGGCGCCGCCTGCCGCGACTACCTGCTGCCCTTCGTGCACGACGGTGTGCGCTACCGTCTGTGCCTGCAGCCGCTGCCGCCGCGCGCTGAGCCCGCCGCCGCCCCGGAGCCCGCCGAGTGCGTGGAGTTCACCGCCGAGCCTGCCGCCATGCGCGAGATCGTGGTGGCCATGACGGCGGTGGGCGGCTCCATCTGCGTCATGTTGGTGGTCATCTGCCTACTGGTGGCCTACATCACTGAGAACCTCATGCACCCCGCGCCGCGGCGCCCTGGCCTGCGCAGGCAGGCCTGAAGCGCCCACCCGGGCGCAGATACCCCGAGCCCTGCGCGCGCCCCATCTTTCCTCGACCCGTCCTTTCCTGGAGATCCCGGGAGGATCTGATGGAAGCGTCGGGGCCCGGCTGGCCCACGCGGGGACCTCGGCGTAGTCGTGAGACCTTCCTGGCCGGGCTCTGTCTCGCAGACTCTCCACACTGGGTCTCGGGGCTGCGCTGGTGTGCCAGCCGCGTCCAGTCGCTCTCTGCTCTCCAGATGCCTTTGTAGGGGGCGGCCGGGACCACAGCTCCTTCCAGCGAGAGCCGTTGGCACCTGGATCATCTCCTTGAACTGTGCCTGTGCCAAATTGTCAGAGGACGCACCATGGTCATCGCTTGGTCACGTTGTGCTTTGCAGGTTGGGGGGTCGTCCCCTTGGAGCCTGTCTTCCTCCCCACCCTACCCCCGTGGGCTTAGGTTAGCTTTGTGCCTTAGTATCTCCAGCCGATGCAGGAGCCACCCGCCGCCCCTCTGGCATCCAAGGGGCTCTGTGCCAAGAACCGGCCTGTGCATGCTCTGACCGAGTGCCCCCACTCCCGCCCCTCGGGCACCCCCTCTTCCAGCTTTGTAGAAGCCAGGGGCAAGGGTCAGCAGGCCCGTGTGTCTTCCATGGGTGAGGATGAGCCAAGAGCCATGACTTAGCTCAGCACTCCGGGCCCAGAGTCTGGCAGCTGCATCCAGTGGTGAGTGACCCCCCACCGTGGGGAGGCTGGCTCCCCCTTTCCTTCTGGGTTTTATGCCTTGATTGGGATCTTTGTGGGAAGTGGGGCAGGTGATCAGGACAGCACTGGATCCTCAGGGCAGGAGAGCTGCCATTCTTGCTCAGCTGGACCATCTATGGTCCATTTCCCGAGCCTCAACCAACCCAGCAAACCTCAGTGGCCACAGCGTGACCAGCTGCACCCCAGCATTGGGTTGGGAGCCCAGGCTCTGATCCCAGCAGCACTGCTGCCCAGCCACCATGGACAGAGGCCAACCCTGCCCACCTGGCAGGCCCGAGGCCTGATGATGTTGGACACTGCCCAGCTCCGCAGGAGCCCTGGGCTACCACCTGGACTTCACCCTGGCACGTCCTGGTCCCTGTGGCTAACTCACCCTGCACCTCAAAGCCCTGAGCCCTGGCTCATGCCCCTGAAGCACTCACACCCTACCTCTGTCTTTGCTCTGCCCGCTCCTTGTGAGGTGCTGGTCAGGTGCGGACCTGGCACCCATGTCTAAATGTCCATCATTCCTAGCCCAGAAACAGGGTCTTGTGTATTTATTTGGGACATGGATGAGAAGGCTGCAGGTTTGGGAAGACCCAATGCCCCTGTGGATGGCCCTGGTGGGAGCCAGACAAAAATAGCAAGACACTGTCCTTGCATCCTGGAGGACCGGCAGGCGTCCCCATTCTTTACGTGCTGACCTTGGGAAACGTCTCTTCTGGGCTGGTGGGAGTGGGAGCTCCTGATGCAGTTAGAAATAGCTCTGTCTGACAGTGACCCACTTGGCTGTGACAGGCAGCAATTAGGGGGCTTAGGAGGGGGCTGCTTCCAGCTGCAGTGCAAGAGGTGGGCAGAGCTGGAGCCTGGGCTTCTGCAGGTATCTGCACTGAGCAGCTGCGCCTCACTGCTCTCGAGCCCTCTTGGGCCTCTGCCCACCAAGACTGTCCTTCAGACACCCTGGAGATGACGACCTGAGGCTGCAGCGTGAAGGGGACAGGCAGAGCCAGCCAGGACAGTGACTCATCCTGATGAGTGGGGGCGTGGTGACGTGTCACAGCTGGGGCAGGTGGGAGGGTTCTGGGTCCCTAGCCGTGGGAGGAGGGCACAGGCCACCTGTGCAGTGTGTTCAGCAGTGTCCTGCTCCCAGGCAGAAGCACAGGCCCCACTATAGGTGACCCTAGCACCAGCGTTTAGCTCCTGAGCACCGGGGCTCCACTGCAGGGCCCTGTGACCCCTTTAGCAGCAGATCCTCCTGGGCCATCAGCCAACTTAGAGGGCCTTCTCAGAACCAGTCTGCTTGGGGCTGGGAGGCACCAAGAAAAAGCAAGCAAGCCTCATGGGAGGGGCACCACGGTCATTCCCACAAGCCACTCCCTCCCCAGGCCACCCTCCTGTGCTGGCATTTGGCCCCTCCCTCCTTTTCTTGGGTAACCTCTGAGCCTCACAAACCTCCAGCTCTGCCTCTTGGAATTGTCCTCATTGGCTTGCCTTCCACTCCATCTCTTTTCTCTGTCCCAGTCTGTCTCCGCTCTCTGGGTCTGCCATGGACTGCGGCCTCTGAACTCATATCCATGGAGTCCCTGTCTGGTGGAGGTGGCTGGCCTCTCCTATTCCTGTGGCACTGCCTGGCTTCCTTCTGCCCCAAAGTAGTGTCTGGAGGCTTGGGAGCCTCAAGGCTGGGCTAGGCCTGGCCAAAGCTCTGTGGTAGAGTGCTCACCCAAGTACACAGGCTCTGGGTTCCATGCCAGCACCACACACCACACAACCATTCAATGTCTCCGTTCCCTTATCTGAAAAAAACACCAGCAAGAACCCGTGTGCAGGCCAGCCAGGGGGAGAAGGAAGTCTTTGCATTGCTGTTCCTTTCTGGCACCTAACCCTTGCCATCTCCAACCCAGGATCCTGACCTCTCTGCCCAGTGCCTGATCACCGCCCTGGGCAGCCACAACGTTCTGTTCTGTTCTCTGCACTGGAGCAGGGGCCCTGGTGCCTTGTGCCAGACTTCACAGGGAAATGGGATATGGGGACACAGGGCTTCCTCCTGGACCTTACTGTGTTCTGATGCTAGAGGTTCCCACATAGGATACCCACATACCCTTTCAGAAAATACAAATTGGCTTCAGAGCAAACCAGTTGGTTACTGCATCAGCAGACAAACACCAAGATGTTACCCAGGTTTTAGAGGCAGATTTATTTATGTCATCAGCCTCTGACAGATTCACTCCCAAAGTATGAGGCACTGATCTCTGGTAGTCTACGGCTTCTGTGGGCCTTGTGACCAGAAAGTAGAAAGGCATAGTATTTGGAGGGTTTTTTTTTTGTTTTGTTTTTTTGTTTTTTTTGTGAAACCGGGGATTGAACTCAGGCCCTTGTGCTTGCCAGGGAAGCACTTATTCTACTGAGCCATCCCCCTGGCCCCTGGAGATTATTGGTTATTATTTTTTAATGTATTTGGTTGTTGCAGGATCTCACTAACAGCTCGGCCCTGTGGTGACGATCCTTCTGCTTTCAGCCTGCACAACGCTGGGATCACAGGCGTGCAGCACTGTGCTCTACTCTCTGGCCAGCTCAGCCCGCTCTGGGAGCTGGGCCAGCATGGGATGTGGTGCCAGGGATCCAGCCAGGGCCCCTGTGCTTGCCTAAGCTTGTTTAAGTTTGCCTAAGCAGGTGCTTTAGTCCTCTGAGCTATCTCGCCGCACCCACCCACCCCCTTTTTTTTTCTTTGAGCTGGTGTCACTAGTTCATGCTCACTTTGGGCTCGTTGTAGCCCAGGCTGGCCTCAAACTTGCAGCGATCCTTCTGCTTCAGCCTCCTGAATTCTGGGATTGCAGCACTACCACCACGCCCAGCCAGTTGATTACGTTGCCCAGCTGGTTACTGATTAGCCTAAGAGAAAGTTACTTCATATACACTGCAAGAGTTTGAGCTAACATACTCAGGCTATGTTGAGTCAGATAAGGGACAAGCAGATCCTGGCAGTGGAAGACAAATCTGCCAGGTGTTCCGAAATTTAGTTCTGAAAAGTAACGATGTTCCTCTTCAGATGTTCCTCTTCATTGCTAGTCACGGTGGATGTCAAGCTTGAGATGGCTAGAGTGACAGAAAAACAACATGTTACTAAATTGACCAGCCTGGGCTGAATTTGTCTCAGCCTCTCACAGTGCTGGGATTATAGATGTGTGCCAACCCCTATTTGCATTTTAAATTTTAATGAAACCAATCAGGAATGGTGGTGCACAGCTCTAATCCCAGCACCAGGGAGGCTGAAGCAAGAGGATTGTGAGTTCCAGGACAGACTGGGCTGCATAGCAAAACCCTGCCTCGAAAAAGAGAAAAACCATAAAGTTAAATAAATAGCAGCAGCTGGAGCAGCGGTCCACGCCTGTAACCCTCCTACTCTGGAGGTAGGAAGATGAGAAGTCTGAGCCTAAGGTGGCGACCTGGCGCGGTGGTCTCCGTGCCGGGCTGTGGAGTGCGAGGTCGCCGGTTCACGCCCCCGTCCCAACTCTTTTAGTGATTTAGTGACAGTCTCAGAACAAGTGCATGGCGGGTTTGTAGCTCAGTGCAAATCCCAGTGCTGAAAAAAAAAAAAAAAGCCACCACCAAGCCACAGGGGTGGTAGTGCATACCTGTAGTCCCCACTCAGGTTAAGACAGGAGGATTGTGGCAACCAGTGTGGGCTACAAAGTAAGCTCATGACTGACCTGAACTGCACAGGGAGACCTTGTCTCAAAAAGAAAAGGAACAAAAAAATTAATCATTTAAATTTAGCTTTTTTTTTTTTTCTTTCAGAACTGGGGATTGAACTCAGACCCTCGCGCTTGCCAGGGAAGTGCTTATTCTACTGAGCCATCTTCCCAACCCTTAAATTTAGGCCTTAATAAATAAATAAACTTAGATGTTTACTTTCAGTAGAGCCCACCCTTGAATGCACTGTGAAATAATTTTCTTTTTTTTTTTTTTAGTATTTTTTAAAAAATTTTATTTATTTATTTATGTGTGTGTGTGTGGCCAGCTCAGCCCACCAGGGGGCGGGGCTGGCTGGCATGTGGTGCTGGGGGATTGCACCGCGGTCCCTGTGCTTTGCTTGGCTTAGCTTGTTCTAAGTAGGTGCTTTAGACCACTGAGCCATCTCACCAGCCCCAATAATTTTCATAATAAGATTTTTTGCCACAGGTCTCAGTGTAATTTAGGCTGGCCTTGAACTCATTATGTGACTCAGACTGGTCTTGAATTCACAGAGATCTTCCTGGCTCAGCCTTTCGCTCAGCTTCTCAGATGACAGGATTACAGGCATGCACCACAATGTTCATAATTTCATTGATTTTTTTTTTTTTTTTTGTACTAGGAACCGAACTCAGGACCTTGTGTTTGCCAGACAAGCGCTATGCCACTGAGCTATATCACTGGCATCTCATTTTGGTTTTAATTTTTTGTTTTGTCTTTGCTTTTAAAGCAAATAACGGAGACCCAGTTTACCAGCTTTTTTTTTTTTTTTGGAACTGGGGACTGAACTCGGTCCTTGAGCTCGCCAGGGAAGCACTTATTCCACTGAGCCATCTCCCCAGCCCCAGTTTACAGGGATTGAACTCAAATGCTTGCACTTGCCAGGCAAGCGCTTAATCTACTGAGCTGTCTCTCCCACCCCTACCATAGACCTAAGCTTAACATTACACATTTACACAGTGGTCAAAACTTTACTAAGTTCCCAGCACCCGTGCACAACTAGAAAACAGCCTTCAATTTGGGTCGAACCAGAAATGTGCTACCGCTAATGCACATCTTTCATCCCTAAGGACTGAAAAGAACAGAACCGGTTCTGTGGAGGGCCCGTGCTGGCAGTGTTAGCCTCACAGCAGGTGGACGCTGCTTGGCTCGTGGTCCAAACACAACGGACAGCAGATACACGCTGGCCTTAGAGTACAGTCTTGTCCTAGCGCTACTCAAGAGCCAAGGCTTACCTTGGGCCACATTTAATAAAAAGCAAAGGACAGGGCTGG